ATATTTACCTAGTTAAAAAAATCAGCATGGTTAGTACAGTTGATGCCCTTTATGTGTACTTTACCTATCACATCCCCATTCCTCCTTCCTGAAGGTAACCACAATCCTGGATTTTGTGTTTTAATCTCAGACATATTTTAAAATTCAACATGTTGATATCATAAGTTGCCTATTCTTCAGATTCCTTCTTTCATTTAAAGTTATGTTTGTAAGATGTACCCATGTTGATATGTAATTTGTGTTCATTTATTTTTCTGCCATACAATAGTCATTCTCTGAATATCCTATGACTTATCTCCTCTTCATGGATTTTTAGGTTCTAAATTTTTTTTATCAAGTCCCCCATGATCATTCTTGCACACATATTCTTGTGTAGATACAAGCAAGAGTTCTCCAGAGCAAAAACTTGGAAGTGGAATTATTTGGTTGTGTGGTATGAGTATCCTCACCTTTACCAGGTTGTTTGCCAGAGCTGTGTAAGTGTTCCCCAACCTTGGGTATTATTAGACTGCTTAAATCTTTTCCAAGTTTGAAAAAATAATTTCTTAAAAACAACAACAAAAAAGAAGGCATGTATTATAGGGTATTTAAAAAATGTACAAAAGTAGAGAAGTGTTGCATCAACCTGCCTGGATGTATGGCCCATCTTGTTTAATCTGTAACCTCGTCCTCTCTCCCCTCCTGGCCTTCTAAGGAAATTAAGAAATGTCACAGCATTTTACATGCAAACACTCATTTTAGATCTCTGGCACATAGCCTTTCATATATAGCCTCAATAATATGATCCCACTAAAAAAACCCAGTAGTCCCTTAATGTTATAAAATACCAAAGTTTCAGTTTTTCCAGTTGCCTTATATTTTTACACTTGTGTCTTCAAATCAAAATCTAAATAAGGTCCACACTTTGTAATTGGTTTCAATCTACAAATTCCTTCTGCTGTCCCTCACAACATCTACCTGGTGATATTGGTAGCCATTAATGGCTATTGCCTAGAAAATCCACTAACTCATTTGGAGTTGTGAGATGGTGCTAGTCTATCATTATTTCGGTTTTTGTTTATGAGCATAATATCACTGTAAAGAGAGATTTCCTCTCATCATATATTTGGCCGTCTTGAGATTCTGTTAGTAAAAAAAAACAGGGTAAAATGTTTTCCTTTTATTCACCAACTTTTGAAACAGTCACAGTATCCTCTGAAGGTGATCACTGAGTGAGTTTGTTTTAGTTATTTTTATGAGTTCGTGGATTTAAGCTTGTCAGATTTGTTCCAATCCATCTTGGTGGTCATCCTGACTGATGCTCAGATTGCCCAGTTTTGGCAGTGGGAGCCTTTTTAAGTTGGCTCCTCAGTTCTTTTGACAGAGTCCTACTAGTCTTCAATTGTTCTCTTGTATGATGAGATGTTTCAGGTTCATCTTGTATATTTCCTGCCCCAAATCTAGAATCAGCCATTTCTCTAAGGAGACTTGGTGTTGCAGCCATCCTCTATCACATACCAAAATGCCAGTCTCTTAGAAGGAAAGGAAGTGTTTATTAGATAGTTTAGGCACAGTGAGCCATTCTTATCAAGGAACAGTGGGAACCCTCCTGAAATCAAAATGCGCAAATGCCTGCCAAGGTCCCACATTACAAGCGGGGCTTTTTAAGGATGGTAGTCTCAGGCTTGGTATGTTAACTCTTTTCCACATAGGGAAAGAGGGATACTATTAGGGATATCACTTCTTCCTGATTCTCATCCCACCTCACACTACCTCACCATAGGCTCCTTCTCAGTCTCCTTTGCTAGCTTTTCCTCATCTCCTCAACTTCTTGCTTAGGGGCCCAGTACTTGTATCTCAAGTAGAATGTTGATAAGAATGTTGGATAAGGAGTCAGGCATTCAGAAGAGAGACTGTGATGGAGATAAACATCTGGTAGTCATTAGTGATGAAGATATACATCTGTTAGTTATTAGAAGGTATTCAGATCCTGAGACTGAATGAAAATTACCTAGGGAGTGAGTCCAGAGAGATATCCAAGTACTGGGCCCTTAAGCAAGAAGTTGAGATGAGGAGAAGATAGTGAAGGAGACTGAGAAGGAGACTGCACAAAAGAGGAAAGGGATGATCAGTGCTGACAGTCTTAAGTTGAAAATGGGGATTTGACTGATTCCAATATGGAGGTTATTGGAGACCTTGAAATATGCTGTTTCAGTGGAGTGTTTTGGACCAGTGCTTGATAGGAGTGGGTTTAAGAGAGAATGGGGTAAGAGGGAATATAGACAGTTCTTTCAAGGAATTTTGCTGTAGAGGGGAGCAGAAAAGCAGTATAATAAGTGGAGGAGTCAACTGAAACCTTTACCATTCGATCATACCTGTTTTTATTTTTCCACATTATCTTCTAATTTTTGTCCACACCAAATACATTTTAGTTATAATACTCAATATTTTGCTAACTCTATCTTTGTTGTTAATGAAAAAAAAAAAAAAATAAGCGGAGGAGTAGAGGAGCTGAAGATTAACAGCATGAGGAATAGTCACAACATGTTTGTATGTTGATGGAGATGCTCCAGTAAAAAACAAAAATCAAGATGTAGGAGAGAAATGAAGAATTGTTGAAGCCTGGGTGGGGAAGAGGGTATAAGATCTAATGTCTAAGTGAGGAAGAGTTGGCCTTAGAAGCACAAACAGTTAGTTTATTCATAGTAATAAAGTGGGCAAAATATATGGGTACGATAGAGGTCGGTAGGTCTGTTGCTGACAACTTGTAAATGATCATCAGCTGCACTTGAGGATAGGGGAGGAGATGCTGAGCTTTAAAGAGTATAAAAGAGTTATCTTGGAAAATGAATGGACAGAGAAAGATAAGATTTCTGGGTACCCCCTTGAGGTTAGTAGTCACGATCTTAAAATGAGACTAGTTTTCATTGGGTACAGGTGTAGAGTAGGAGTGATTGAACCAGGGTTTGAGTTTAGCTAGAGAGGAGAGTAGCAGAATTAAAGAAGTATGGTTGGGAGTGATTATAATGACCCTGGAATATAAGCATTTTAAGGAGGGAAGTGAAGAATGAGGCTATAAAAATGAGTTATGATCATTGTGTTCAACATAGATCCCACATGGTCAAAGAGTTGTTGTAGTTGTCCATCTAGAGGGGGTAAGTCAGAGATAGGAGAAGGTAGTCAGCGAGTTGAAAGCTTAAATTGAAATTAAGGAAATGTATAGTTATTGTTAATGGTAGGGCATATGATTATGAGAATGAATAACTGAGGTAGGGTGGAGAATAAAATCAGTAGAGGAGAAGAGGACAAGGAACCAAGAGGCCAGGGTATTAGCAGGAACACCCACACTGATAGTGAAATCACAAGAACTATAATCAGATAGGTTATTAGATTAGAAAGAGGTGACCATGAGCAAATCAAGGAATGATGAGAGTGACTGGGGACTGTAGCTGAGGTTTCCTGTATACTGCCATACTTCCATATAGACTTTTCATGATTTAAAAGCTTCTTACCTTTTTTACAAAGGACCCTGTACTCTGATCAAAAGTCCTCAATCATACCACAGTCTTTCATAACCCTGACTTTTACAGCTGCGTATTCTTTTGTTTAGATGCTTACAGCTATGGTACTTGCCTTTCATAGGAGTATTGTTTCTTATTTCTAGTTTATAATATGTATTACATTATTTTTAAACTGCTAGCTTACATTCACTGTGTTTTTTCTCCTTTTTGTTTTTTTAAAACCAGACTGACAGTTCCCTTAGGCCAAGGACCTTATCTGTCTTTTTGTCCCTGTAGCACTATAAAAAATTTATCAGCAAACTCTAGGAATAGATCTATTTAGTAGATACTTTTGGAAAGTCAGTTATTATCAAGTCAGTAGTGGTATAATTCTCTATTTTTATCTCACTAAATATGATGCTTACTTAGATTTACTTATATCAAGTGCCCACAGTTAATGAAAAAATATTTAAATTATAATGAGTTTCTTTTGTCTGTATATTACAAAATGGCTATTCTTAGTCTGTTTGCATTTCAGAGAAGATTACAAATACAGAAGCAGGGCTTCCCTGCTGGCTCAATAGTGAAGAAGCAGCCTGCCAACGCAGGAGACACAGGTTCGATCCCTGCTCTAGGAACATCCCATATGCCGCAGAGCAACTAAACCTGTGTCCCACAGCTTCTGAGCCCATGCTCCGCCACAAGAGAAGCCACCACAATGAGAAGCCTGCATACCACAGCTAGAGAGTAGTCTCTGCTCGCACAACGACAGAAAAGCCTGTGCAGAAACAAAAGAACCAGCACAGCCAAGAAAATAAATAAATAAAATTATTTTTTAAAAATACAGAAGCAATTATTGATTGTGCTTATAGATTGAAGATAGATAATATAGTTACTTGTACATTTTGAAAAGAGCCTTGGTTTTTTTATTTTCTCTTTACTGGTTCAAGCCTCTATTTTGGGATTTTGGAATTGAGTTCACAGTTTAAGGAAGAAGGCCCTAAAAAGAAAACAAGGGATTTAAAGGTGACTATAATACAGCTAAACAAATGCTGTTTATTCCCTTCTTTACTAACTTACTGTTTAAATGGTGCAAGTTTTGGGACTCCCCGGTCAGTCCAGTGGTTAAGACTCTGCACTCCCAATGCAGGAGACATGGGTTTGATCCCTGGAACTAAGACCTTACATGCTGCACCGAGCAGCCAAAAGGAAAAAAAGGAGTGCAAGTTTTTACAATACCAGAAATGAGCATACTAAGAGTTTACTCATTTGTTAGTATGCTTAATTTTATTTTCCTTAAAGAGAGTCTTTATGTGAGTATTTTTTGTGCATATTTTGATTTCTCCTTATGATTGCTTATGTATTTGTCATTTTTATAATTGAGTAAGAATATAAATCATCTCTATTAATTATATTTTTGATTTATATTACATTCGCTTTGGGACTATTATAAGTTAATTTCAATATATAAAAATTTCTGACACATGCTTATTTTAGATTTTTCTTTTTCTTTTTTTTCAGAAACTATGAGTGGAGGATCTCAAGTTCACATTTTTTGGGGTGCTCCAGTCAGTCCACTGGAAATGACAGTCTCACAGGAGCCAACCTCTTTAGCACCCACTACTGAGACCTGGAAAGAAATTCAGGTTTTGTATAATCACCATTCCTTATACCTGAAGGATAAAAAATGCAGGCACAAAAATCTCGAGGACCGTCAGGCCCTGGAACCTCTGGGTCTTCCAGATCTTCCTCATGGTCATACTCCAGCAAACTCTGTGAACAGATCTGTTTACATGAAAGATGACTCCACACGTTGCATTTCTGAAACACAAACTGTAAATTCCCAGAAGAGTTACCTCTTGGGAATGAGTGATAGAACCAACTCCAGTGAGCAAATATGTGGATTTAAGGGAGGAATTCAGCATTTTACTGAAGAAGAGAAGTATCAAAATCTTTCCAGTGAATTTAAGAAAACCACAAGTGAACAGCATGATCAATCAAACATATGTGGTCAGAACATTCCAAAAAATTCCTTTCATTTAGATCATAAGTGTGCAGCTATACTGGATGTGGTCTGTGGTACTGAACAGACTAATACTCCAGAAGCTATCAAAATAAACCGTGCACCAACAGAGCATCATGAAATACAGAACCGGTGTCTGGAGTTCTTCCCCTCTAACACAGTAGACAAACCTAGACCTGAAGGACTTAAAATATCCACTGATGCTGAATTTCTTAGTATAATGACCTCCAGCCAGGTTGCTTTTTTAGCTCAAAGGAAATATAAAGGGCAGAATTCTATAAATAAAGGGACCATAAACATGGAGATTGAACCAGAAGCAAGTTATGGGGAAATAAGAATAACTGAGGATAATTTGATTCAGTCCAAAGATGATTCTGCAGAAGGATATGAAGATGGACAGAACCAAGCCTGTTCCGTTGAACTTTTTAGTCCTGTTTGTCCTGAAACAAAAAGTTGCTACACTCTCTTAAATGCTGATAAAGATCTTGAAGAAAACATAGGATCTCAAGAACTTTTCAATTTTGATGATAACTTTCAACCAAATGAGATATGCATTGAGTCATGTAACTCAGGAATACTGTGTTCTCAACTAAATACCTTCCACAAAAGTTCTGGTAAGAGAAGTTGGACCTCTGAAGAGAAATCAGGCCACCCTCAGGCTCTGTCTAAAGTCCCCCATGTAGCTAAGAAAATTAAGTTGTTTTCTAATGAGATAGATCATACTATAACGGTGGACCAGAGGAACATGTCTGGATTTAAGGGCATTAAAAAAACCTCATTAATAAAAAACTGTGATTCTGAACGTCAGAAATACAATTGCTTAGTCATGGTATTATCTCCATGTCACATGAAAGAAATAAATATAAAATCTGGACCAAATTCTGGCTCTAAAGTGCCTTTAGCAACAATTGTGGTAACTGACCAATCAGAAATTAAGAAGAAGGTGTTTCTGTGGAGGACTGCAGCATTCTGGGCACTTACTGTGTTTCTTGGAGATATAATTTTACTCACAGGTAAGGTCATCGTGGTAAATATCTTTTTATTTTACAAAGCTGTTCTCTATTTCCCCCTCCCACTTTAAGCCTTTAAGGATTCTTTCCTTACCATTTGCTTCTTAGGGTTCCAGCATGATTGAGTCCCTTATAGCATCTGTATTGGTCTCCTCATCCCTGCATTGCCATTTCTGGGTTTTTATCTGTCCTTTTTTGTTCTATCCCTCCTTCCCACTGTCCCTCCTGTTCCTCCTTCTCTTTGAGAAGTCTTCTCTGATTTCTCCTCCTTTGATCCACTATGCTAGCATTTATGTGTCTCATCGGGCTCTTTGTTTGCTTACCGTTTTATTTATGTATGTCTTATTTGTAACCCTTTTCTTTAGCTGTGTTAACAGGATGACATTTCTACTATTCCATCCCTAATAAAGCTGTTCACACTACATTCTTACTGAGGGAACGTGGAATTTCTTGGAATTTTTAAATTATTAAAATTACCAAAGACCTTTGAACTGCATGGGCCCCTTTATATGTGGATGTTTTTCAGTAGTGAAGACTACAGTACTCCACCATTCCTGGTTGGTTGAATCAATGGATGTAGAAGAGCACGAGATTCAGAGGGCTGACTAAAGTAATGGATTAACCCTGTGTTATCCAAGGGTCACTACGGATCACATTTGGAAATATGGAAAGGAGAGACTCCTGGTATTATACCAACCTCATATAACTGCCAATGGAGTGTTGGAGTATTGCCTTCCAGTTATCTTGCCTGTGCTCCTCAATCATGTCTGCATGTGGATAATAACGGACATTCATTGGGAACTTAGTCCCTGTTTTAGACATTATATATCTTTCAACTCATTATATAACAATTGTGTGAGGAGAGCACTGGTTATCTTCCCCATTTTTCAGCTTGAAAATATAGACCCAGGGAAGTGAAGTAACTTAGCCACTGCCAGCCAGTTAGGAGGTGGCAAAGCCGGGCTTCACCCCGATTCTAGAATCCCTACTCTCAGTATACAGTTGTAATGATGAAAAATGATTTGTATCCTGCTTTTTCACGTGAAAAACAAAATCTAACAGTTCATTACATGTCCTATATTGATTTAAAAATCAACACATAGTGTATTAGGGCATAGTTACTAGTCATTTTAAGAATGACTAGCACAAAGTTGATTAAGCTTTATAATATATGTAAAGATAGAACATGATAGAGAAGAGGTGTGGGTCAGCTTTAAAAGCTTAGAAAGAGAAAATATCAAGGCAGTCATTTGTAATTTCTACCAGATGGTTTGCTGAGGGAGTGAGAACCTTAGCTAATATAGTTTGGTATTTGTGTAACATTATCAGGTACAGTCTGTACTGAAGAGTTGAACACAGGTTTGTATCAGCTTTGCGTAGTCTTGTCCCACTGGCGGTATCTTCTTTGCAGGCAGCTCAAGTCACCTAACTTGCTCTTTTCTGATTCAGTGCTTGCCGAGCCGCCCTTTGCTTATGACTCGGCTTCCAAGATGTAAAACTACCTACAAGGTGAGAGCAGGCTGCAAGTGTTTCTTTGGCAATTTTGTACATTTAAACAAAAAGGTTGTATTTTGTTTTTCTGTTTGTCTCATTAACTGATTTGAAAACAAGTGTATGTTACAGAGCTGAGATCTATTTTTGGAGTGCTGAAAAAAATGAGGTTCCCAAGACCGTAAAGAGTAGGCTAGACCCTGGACCACGATTACTTTATCAAGGCATTACTGTCACTGTATGCGGCTCCCAGGAGGCCTTTTCCCAGCAGACAGAAACTCAACCCGACTATCTCTCTTTTTTCCTAGTGTCCATACAGTTGTTACCAAGGAGGTAACATTCTGTGAAGTGACTTTACCAGAGTTTACTTAACCATCTTCCTATTATAGAATATTTAGATTATTTCTATGGGCACCAGTTTTTTAAAATGGGTTTTTTGTTTGTTTGTTTGTTTCTGTCTTATTTAATTTCCTTAGTTAAAAAAATACAGATATCTAGTTTCTTTTATTTGTGTGGAACAGATGAAAACTTTGTGGAAAGAGAAATTTGTACTTTTCTGTTTTCCTAGTTAGGTAGTGAGATTACATTTACAGAGGAATTTATGAGTGAAATCCCACTTTAATGACTAGCATCCAGTTGCAGATGATTATATCTGTGTTGGATATCTCATACTACCTTCTGATATCCACCCAAAACTGAACAATTCTGTCTAACAGATGGATTCCAGATCACATTCCATTCAGTAATGGATATTTTTCTACTGTAGCAATAGAGTGAAAAGATGCTCTAAATATGTCTATATAGTCTCTAAGGAGACTAGTGACTAGAATTAAAAGAGAAGAAGACCTGGGACTTAACTGGGAAACCAGTATATAAAGAACAGATAGAAAACTATATCAGTGAATAGACCAAGAAAAGGGGGGCAAAGGCTGAATTCTTAACTCCCCTCCATCCTATCACCAATGATTAACATTTTATGAGTCTGAACATAGGTTTTACAATATGGTTTTCTGAAAGTTCTCCTTGAAATTTCTTATATGTTCCCTTCTGAAGAGCAGGCATCCTGAATGTCAGATCTTGAAAAGCTTTGAATGCTATACTGGTTGTTCCTGGCCAGGCCATGGGGAGCCACTGAGAGTTTTTTAATCAAGTCAGTAGATCACATTAATGTTCTTGATAAATCATTCATTAGCATCATGGGACATGGATTGGAGATAGGAAGGGGACCTCCTTGGAGAGAGAAGAAAAACTAGCAAAACTAGCCGTGGCAGGGCTGCGGGCAGATTGAAGACGAGGAGTCAACAGTCGGGTTGGAGACAAAAATGGGACAGGAGAGGTAGAAGTTCAGGATGATGTCATGTTTTAATTGACCTGGCTAGCAGCATAGTGCCAACAGATGAGATGGGGCATACAAGAAAAGCAGATTTGAGCAAGGCTGAGTTTGGGGAGCTAATAGAATATCCAGTCAGGAATGTCAATTAGGCAGTTGTGGATAAATGGGTAAATGGGTTTGAAGCTGAGGAGAGGATCTGGGATATAAATTTGGATGTAATTACTTGGAAATTATTCATCCTTGTTTTTCTTTGATTATTTTGCTGCCATTAGTGCATCTTCATACCTTTAACATTTTATACTGATTATAAAAGGCTGATTATATCCTGCCTGGGATGGATCTGTCTCTGTCTTTAACTTAATTTTTGTTCTACTTAGAATTGTTTCTCCCAGTTGGAATGTTTAGTTCCACTAAATGTTTCTTTTTCCATCTTAGATCATGCACCTTTCTTTTTCCTGGGAAGTGTTCCTTACCTCTAAAGTATTTCATTTTTAACATCTATAGAAGATAATTATCATTGAGTTTAGGGAAAAATAATCAAAGTTCTTTAAGAATACCTTACATTATATTTATATATGGCTTATGGCAGAGGAAATAAATGCATACTAAATATGTTTTACTCTTCTAGGAACTACTGCTTTGGAACCCTGCTTTGCTTCCTTATCCTAAATGACTTACTTTTAATTTATCAGAAATATACATTGTACCTTTGCCTTAAGCGAACAAAACCGTTAAAATTTTCTCTGTGGAGCAGAGCTTCCATATTGATATTATTTGAATATACAGAAGCAATTTTGTTATTTTGCTTACGTACAGACATTCCTAGGTTCAGAGATCAAATTTGCTATTTTATCATTTTGTACCTTTAGGGAGATCATTTACCCTATTTGGACTTCAGTTACCTGGCATGTGAGAGGCATGCATGGTATTTTGCTATGATGAGTACATTAATTCCAGTGTGAGGGAATTTTTAGCATGATCAGAACTTATTTTCCCCCTTTCTAGATGTCACTATCCATGAGGATCACTGGGTTGGTGAGACAGTACTGCAATCAACATTCACCAGTCAATTATTAAATCTTGGGAGTTACTCATCTGTCCAGCCCGAAGAATGTAAGAAACATTTTAAATTTAAATATAATAATTTCTTAGTATTTAAAATATATACACATATTGAGAAAAATTAGAGTTAAAATGGCAGTGTTACAAAATGTTTTCTAAATGGTTAGCTGAAAGATATTGGTTTATTTTCAGTAAGAATGAAAATAGAATTTATAAAAATCAACTTGTACAGTATAGATCATATTTATTTTAAGAAATATTGGGGTTCATGATTTGTTTTCTTAGAGTCAATATAGTCATGATTCTTAAACTTTTAGGGAGTCATAGACCTCTTTGAGAAGCTATGTGCCATTTCTTAAGAAAAATAGACTTAAGTAGGAAGATATAAAATTTTGCTTGTCATTCCAAGTGATTCTACAGACCTCTGAAGTTCTTCCATGGAATTTCTGAGCCTCTGGAATTCTTGAGGTAATGAAAAGAGGATTTGTATGACAAATACATGTTTAGTTTTATAAGAAATTGCGAAACTATTTTTCAGAGTGGCTGTACCACTTAAGCTTCCTACCAGCAATGTATCTTGTAGTTTCTCTGCATCCTTGTCAGCATTTGGTATTGTCCTATTTTTAAATTTCAGCCATTCTGATCACTGTGCAGTGATATCTCATTGTGGTATTAATTTGCATTTCTCTAATGGCACAAGACAGATCTAATAGAATATGACTAAGAAATAAAAGATCTAAACAATATAGTGAGCAGTGTAGATCTTATGAATAAGGTGTATCTTATGGATATAAATGGAATTCTACATTCTGATGATAGAAATATGCATTTTTGTCATGTGTGTAGAGTACAGTCAGAAAAATTGATCCTGTTAGGTCATAAAGAAAATGTTAGTAATTTCTATAAAGTGGAATTATTACAAACATACTGATCAAATGCTATAAAACTCAAATTTATTTCTTTTTAATTTTTTATGATGTTATTTGTTTATTTATTGACTGTGCTGGGTCTTTGTTGCTGCATGTGGGCTTTTTTCTAGTTGTGGTGTGCAGGCTGCTCATTACGGTGGCTTCACTTCTCGCAGAGCACAAGCTCCAGGGCACATGGGATCCAGTAGGTACAGCACGTGGGCTCAGGAGTTGCAGTTCCTGGGCTCTAGAGCACAGGCTCAGGAGTGGTGGTGCACAGGCTTAATTGCTCAGTGGCATATGGCATCCTCCTAAACCAGGGATCGAACCTGTGTCTCCTACATAAGCAGGTGGATTCTTTACCATTGAGCCACCAGGGAAGTCCAAGAACTAGAATTTATTAGCAACAGCAGCAGCAGGCCCTATATCTGGAAATTTTATACCTACTGAACAAATTTTGAGTGAAAAAGGAAATACAAACTGATATTATAGAATTAAAAAATATAATAATGAAAACACTACAGGTCAGAATATCTGGAATGCATTTAAGGAAAATTATCAAGGAAAAATGTATTAGCTGAACCCTTTTTCTCAGTAATAATAAAAGAATAAAAACACATGAATTAAATTCTAAACTCTGATACCTAGCAAAAGAACAACAAAGTAAAGCAAAGAAACAAAGGTAAAAGCAGCAATTAATAAGAATGTGAATTTTAAAATGATAAATAATTTTAATGTAAAATCTTGTTTCCAAAAAAATAGATGAACCAGCTAGTTAATTTGATCAAGAAAAAAGGGAGGCATGCACCTCAATGTTTTTTGCAGCACTATGTATAATAGCCAAGACAATGTCCACTGATAAGAGGAATGGATAAAGAACATATGGTACATATGTACAATGGAATATTACATCCATAAAAATGAATGAAATTATGCCATTTGCAGCAACATGGATAGACCTAGATTATTGTAGTGAGTGAAGTAAATCGGATAGAGAAAGACAATTATATGATATCACTCATATGTGGAATCTTTAAGTTTTTAAAAAATGATAGAAATAAACTAATTTGCAAAAGTGAAACAGACTTACAGATATTGAAAACAACCATGGTTACCAAAGGGGAAGTTTAGGGAGAAGGGATAAATCAAGTGCTTGGGATTAACATACACATGCTACTATATATGAGATAGATAACCAGCAAGAACCTACTGTACAGCCCAGGAAACTATACTCAATATTTTGTGATAACACATGTGAGAAAAGTGTCTGAAAAAGAATCAGTTCAGTTCAGTTGCTCAGTTGTGTCTGACTCTTTGCGACCCCATGAATCGCAGCATGCCAGGCCTCCCTGTCCATCACCAACTCCCGTAGTCCACCCAAACCCATGTCCATTGAGTTGGTGATGCCATCCAACCATCTCGTCCTCTGTCGTCCTCTTTTCCTCCTGCCCTCAATCTTTCCCAGCATCAGGGTCTTTTCAAATGAGTCAGCTCTTCGCATCAAGTAGCCGAAGTATTAAGAGTTTCAGCTTCAACAGCAGTCCTACCAATGAACACCCAGGACTGATTTCCCTCAGGATGGACTGGTTGGATCTCCTTGCAGTCCAAGGGACTCTCAAGAGTCTTCTCCAACACCACAGTTCAAAAGCATCAATTTTTTGGCGTTCAGCTTTCTTTATAGTTTAACTCTCACATCCATACATGACCACTGGAAAAATCATAGCCTTGACTAGATGGACCTTTGTTGGCCAAGTAATGTCTGAATGTGTGTAAATTTTCTAGGGAAATACAGATAGCCAAAATTGATCCCATTATTGAAAGAAAGTGTAAACTCACTAGTTTCTGTAGAAGAAATAGAGAAAATTACTAAAGAACTGCCATACAAAAGAGGGCCAGGTCTGAAAATAGTTTCACAGGAAATTCCACCAAACCTTCAAAGGCCAGATAACTCAAGTGCTCTATAAATTAGTCCAGAGTATTGAAGGAGAAAATTCCCAAATCCTTTTATAAAGCAAATATAACACTAGCACCTAAACCAAATAAAGACATTACAAATAAAAATACAGACCAGTATTATACATGATTATTGATGTAAAAGCCTAAACAGGATTTTAGTAAACAAAATCTAACTCTGCATTAGGGAAATAATGACCAAATGAGATTTATTCTAGAAATGGAAGATTTGTTCAGATACATGAATATTTTATATTAATATATGAAGATTAATATATTAACACATCTGAGAATTTATATGGCTATCTCCATGGATGTTGAGAAACCTTTTGACGAAATTCAACATCCATTTATTATAAAAAACATTCCAAGAAATAAAAATTAAGGGATACTTTCTCCTACCAATAAGTACAGTATCAGTATAGTGCTACAATTACAATATAGTTGATACTATATCAATAATATAGATATACTTAGCCCTGATGCCTTATCTTATTTAATGTAGAAACACTAGAGGCATTTCCACAAAGTCAAGACCGAAATAAGAATATCCCTTATCTCTGCTATTCTTTTCAATTTGCTGTTGTTTAGTCACTAAGTCGTGTCTGACTCTTTGTGACCCCATGAACTACAACATGCCAGCCTTCCCTGTCTTTCACTGTCTCCCAAAGTCTGCTCAAATTCATTTCCACTGGGTCAGTGATGCTATCTAACCATCTCATCCTCTGCCGCCCTCTTCTCTTTTGCCTTCAATCTTTCCCATCATCAGGATCTTTTCCATTTTGTTGGCTCTTCACATGAGGTGGCAAGGGTATTGGAGCTTTAGCTTTAGCATCAGTCCTTCCAGTATATATTCAGGGGTGATTTCCTTTAGGGTTGACTGGTTTGATCTCCTTCCTGTCCAAGGGACTCTCGAGTCTTCTCCAGTACCACAATTCAAAAGCATCAGTTCTTTAGCACTCAGCCTTCTTTATGGTCCAGCTCTCATATTTGTACATAACTACTGGAAAAACCATAGCTTTGACTATATGGACCTTTGTCCGTAAAGTGATGCCTCTGATTTGTAATACACTGTCTAGGTTTGTCATAGCTTTCCTTTCAAGGAGCGAGTGTCTTTTAATTTCATGGCTACAATCACCATCTGCAGTGATTTTGGAGCTCAAGAAAATAAAACCTGTCACTGTTTCCATTTTTCCCCCATCTATTTGCCATGAAGTAATAGGACCAGCTGCCATGATCTTAGCTTTTTGAATGTTCAGTTTCAAGCCAGCTTTTTCACTCTCCTCTTTTAGCCCCATCAAGAGGCTTTTTTAGTTCATCATTATACTAAGAGTTATTCACCAATGCAATTAGAAAAGAAGAGGCATTTGAATGGGTAAAGAATTACACAAAAATTACTGTTAAAAATATCAGTAGCCTTCATATACACAAACACCAAACAGAGGGCATAATGGTAGGAAAATACTAATTTACAATAGTAATAAAGAAGATGTTTCAGAATAAATTAAACAAGAAATGTGCAAAAACCTATATGAATAAAAATTTTAAATACACTGGAAAGAAATGAAGACATGAATAAGTGGAAAAACAACATTCCCTATTACTGGATTAAATAATTCAACATTAAATGATACCAGTTCTCTTAAGATTATTTATAAATTCAGTGCACTCTCAGTAAAAATACCAACATGATACTAATATGATACTATATATAACTTGATACTAACATTCATATGGAAGAACAAACATGCAAGAATAGCTAGGAAAACAGTGAAAAAGAAAAATATGAGTGACTAAGCTTATTGAGCATTAAAACATACTCTAAAGTCCCAGTAATTAAAGCAGTGTGATACTGGTACATGAATAGGCAACTAGATCAGTGGCATAGAATAGGAAGATAAGAATTAGGCACATATGTATAATTTAGTATGTAACAAAGATGGTATCTGAAACCACTGAGGCAAAGGTTAGCTTATAAATGGCCCTAAGGTAACTTGGTGGCCACATAGAAAAAGATAAGATTGTATCCACTTTGTCACCAAGTAGGGTAGGGGGTCCCTAGAGAAAGAGTATCAGTATCAAGCATGATTTTCTTGACATGAGAGGCTATTTTTTGGCCTAAGCCATTTTGTGATCTAAGCCTGGCCATCATGCTTGTCTTTGAACAGGTCTGAGTAATTAATAACCTTT